TTTAAGGAGCCAAAAATCCTTTTCTTTTCTTATATCTATCGCCATTAGGGCACCCACCACCGATATCTTCAAGGTCAGAAACCAAAAGACCATCAGTCTCTTTAGCCACCACAAATCTCTTCTTTTATATCACTCTCGACGAATTTACCACTCGAAGAACCACAACTAAACACTGTAGCCTCCTATAATTCCTACTCCTCTATCATTTCCGACGATTGCCCTTCATCAATCAGCAAAGGTTATCGACTTCTAAACCCTTTATTATACTCTTCAATCTCAGAATTAGATTATTTGATTGCTAAGATAACAAATCTTACAGATCTGTACAAATCCGAGCCGTCAGAGAAATCGTAAAGGGCTAATACGAAGGTAACCAAAGACAAACCTAATATTTGTTCCTTATTGATACTCTTTATCTTCGTCGGTTTCTCCTGTTCAATTATATTGCTAGTGATTCACTAACTCTGAAAAAGTTTAGAGCTTTATTGAGGTGGATGAATAATATTTTGTTTTCTGTTGTGATGTTCAGATACTCATCGAAAGCAAGTTCAAAACTATTTTCTCACTGTCGTTTTTTATAATGTCTTCTTCTGTTTTGTTTTGTGTTGTGTTTAGAAACTAATATGGAAGCAAGGAAGGGCATCATCTGTGGACTCCCGGCAAATGGAGTAAAACCACAACTCAAGCAACAGCCACGATTCCAACAACAGACACAACAAGAAGCTAACCACTAAGTTCCAATGAAGCGCCCTAAACAAGAACGAGGTCAGTCATCAGGAGGTAATGATGTGGAAGAGATTAACAGAAACGATTTCAGATGCTCTCTAGGGTACCTGATACGGATTGAAGAACCTGAAGAAGACATTGAACCAATGTTCCGGGTGTTTATCAGAAACATGAATAACGGTGAACGCAACTCAACTACACTGAGACGCTCACAACAAGAACAAGGTCAGTCCTCACGTGGCAAAAGGTGTTCGTCACTAAAGGCAGTCTATAATCAAGCTGCTTCATTGTAATATCCATTGTTAAAAGTTGTTAGCCTTCTAGTGTTGGTTTGATGTTTTCTTTGTAATGCATTGTCTTCTTCATCCTTTAGTATGCTTATGATATTTTGTAATATGTATCTTTTTATTGAGAGCAAATTATATTGTAATTAATTTTTTTTTTAATTATGCAATTAAATGCTACAAAACAAAATAATAGCAATAACAAAATACCTGATTGCGTCACTATACAGATTAATACAACAAATAGAAAAATTTATAAAAACTAACTTCTTAGCACGCATAATCAGTTATTTGAAATTATCTCATGACACACTATAATAGCTATAATAGGTGGACAACTCTATATACTTTAGAGTTACTGAACACTATCCAATATCACAGGGAAAAGGCTACTAAACGTAATACTATGGCACAGAAAAAATGCTCCAGTAAAATAAATTATAGCGAACCAAACTAGTTACAATACCAAGTTTACTGGCAATAAGTGAGTGCCATTAAAAAGGTTATCGCAGCAGAGGAAAAAACGCTACAATAACTCCGTTTACCATAGCGTATAAAAATATGCTATTATAGGGGGGGGGGTACCATAGCTGCGGCTAACATAGCGTTCATGGAAACGCTACGAAAGGGATATAATAGCGTTTTCGGTGTGCTAGCAAAGCCGATATTTCTTGTAGTGAAAAGAGTATCTTCTGGGATCTGCCATACTGGAAGGATCATCTGTTGCGGCATAATTTGGATGTAATGCATATTGAGAAGAACTTTTTCGACAATTTGATGAACACAATGATAAACATCCCTGGTAAGACGAAGGATAATTTAAAATCACGATTGGATCTAATCGATATTTGTGATCGTCCTGAACTTCATGTTGATGAGAACAGAGTGGCTCCTTTTCCCATATACCGTCTGGATGCAGCTGCAAAAAAGGAGTTCTTTGATTGGATTACAGATAGAGTGGCATTTCCAGACGGTTATGCATCAAATTTGCGTAATAGTGTCGATAGAAGCGAAGGAAAGTTTACAGGGTTGAAGAGTCATGATTGTCATGTAATGATGCAGCACCTCCTTCCGTTTTGTTTTTCAGCATTATTGCCACGAAATGTTCATGAAGCAATTGCAGGTATCGTATGTTTTAATTTTCTAAAATTGATTAACATATTTATTTATTATGTTTATTTAAGCACTTATGCAATTCTTTACATATATGTCTATACAGGGATTAGTGCTTTCTTCCGCGATTTATGCAGTAGATCAGTCACCGCAGAGGGTATTAGGAATTTGAAGGATAAAATACCCATCATCATGTGCAACCTCGAGAAGATATTTCCTCCAACATTTTTTGATGTTATGGAACATCTTGTTATTCATCTCGTAAGAGAATTGGAGCTTGGTGGTCCTGTGAATTATCGATGGATGTATCTTTTTGAGCGTTTCAGCATCATCTGAAGAAGAAGATCAAGAATTGCAGCAGGGTGGAAGGATCTATTATCGCACAGGTGATCAATGAAGAAAGTGCAAACTTTGCTGAAAGATACTTTCCAGGAGAAGTGCAAACTAAAAATCGCCAACCTAGTCGGCATGATGATCGAGGGGATAGGGCAACATATTATGTTAGTGTTCCAACCATCTTCAAGGAAATTGGACGACTTAGTGGAAAATCCACAAAGCGGAGACTTACAGAGACGGAGCACGCTCATTTGCAAACATATTTGCTCACCAACTGTGAAGATGTTCTAAAATATGAGAGGTATATATTTAATTTCATTTAAATTGTTAAAATATTGAATAACTTTTATTTTCAGATTATTAATATCATTTTGGTATATATAGTATTTATATGGCAGAGCTGCGCTTGACTTACAGACATGCCACAGAAGAGGAGCTTAACACCTCAGACATAATGGATTTGCTGGATGGTTACTTAATTATGTGAGTGTGTACATGAGATTTTAAGTATTTATATATTTAATGGATTAACTTATCACTTACATGTTCTGATCGTATTATAGGTGACTCAAGGTTTGGCCAGAGGTGAAATCTTCGATGATTGGTTGCGCGACATGGTGTGGGGACCTAACTATATGGCCAGATCATATCCAAGATATTGTACTTGGGGATATGCGTTCACAAGGAAAGGCTATTCAAAGACAACTTTTGATGCTGGTGTTTCGTCTCATCTGGTGACGATGTGTACTATGGCAACATAAAAGAAATTTTGGAAATCAAGTATCCCGGGATGGTTGGATTGCGGTGTACTGTATTATATTGTGATTGGTATGACAACACCCCAGATCGAGGAGTGAAGACGGACGCATTTGGTGTTACATCGGTTCATTCTCGAAGGAAACTTCAATATTATGATCCATTCATTCTTGCCTCGCAAGCTGATCAGGTATATATATCTGTTACTTTTAATACAAAAAGTTTATAATTTATCACATTATTAATTTAATAATTTTTTATAGGTTTGCTATATCAGTTATCCTCGAGTTACGTACAGAGATGATCCATGGATCACTGTGTCGTCAGTCAACCCAAGAGGCAGAGTACATGGAAGTTCTGATAATGACCCATTACAACCAAACACGACCAGCAACGTTGATCCAACTGAAGATGTGGCAGAGGTTGAGCTTGTTGTAGATTTTACGGACTTTGGAGATGATGCTGTTGTACACTCAGAAGCAGAAGCAGAAGTTGGCGAGTTTGACGAAGATTCTGAAGATGGTTCTACTGATTCTGAAGATTCTGATTAGGAACAACTTATTATACTTATTTTTAACTTTAGTTATAATTTTCTATATTATTTTTAGTTAAATTTTTTTTTTAAATATCAAAGTTCGTCGGAAATCCGTCGGTATATTCCTACGGATTTCCGACAAAATAGGGTTTCATTCAGGGTATTCAATATTCTTCGGAAATCCGTCGGTATATTCCTACGGATTTCCGACGAACTAAATCTTATATATTAAAAGAGAAGTCATGACTTCACTTCATGTGTGATATTTTAAAATGGACCATCTAATAGAATTCATAACATTATATTATTCAATCATTAATAACATTCATTAGATTTACTAATAACATTTATTGGGCTTATTAAATTTTTTATTGGGCTAATAAAAATTAGATGATCCATTGGATTTATAGATATTATAATAAATACATGTTTAAATTAAACTTATATAATTTAATATTGTAATAGTATAAGTTAATTATTTATATATTTTGATGTTAACTTTTAAAATTATATAGTTTATTTTTAAAATTACAAAATCATCATTTTCTAACAATAATTAATATATACTATATAATAATTAATCATCATTTTCGATATACACACCCTTATATAATATATACCCATTTAGAAGGAAAAATGTTTATATAAAAATAAATGAAAACAAATACCTGCGCGGTTGCGCGAGTTGAGATCTAGTTTAAAATGCTAAAATAAACATAACTAAATATATACTTGGATACCAAAATTATATATATGTGTGTATATTATTGTTGAGTAAACTATTGATTCCAACCATTCAATTTTTACAACTTATTAAAATTTATATATGTATGTATCTTATTGTTTTCATAACATATCATCTTAATACTCATATACTTACACAAACATATAAATCTAATCTTACAATACTAAAACTATTTTGTTTAAAATTGTGTTATAAATATTTTTTTATAGTCAATCATTATTCAAATACTCTATTTATTAACAAATATATGGATTATAACAATAGAAATTTGTGTTTAAATACATAAACCCTATTTCGTCGGAATTTCATAGGTATATTTCCTACGGATTTCCGACGAACTGGGTAATTTCTTAACCCGGGAACCCAAACCGCGTGAAATTTTCAGATAACCGCCAATTAATTTCGGACCGACGGAATTCCGACGAAAAGGGATCCGTCGGCCTTTTTTATATTAAAAACCCTAATTACTCTTCTTCTTCCTCATTGGCCTCTCTCTCTCTCTAACTCAGCGATTCCGGCGGCTCCCTCTCTTCCAAGGCGGCGGCTCCCTCTCTTTTCTCGGCGGCTCTCGTGAATTACTCTCTTCCCCTTCCGATTCCGGCGGCTCCCTCTCTTTTCCTGGCGGGTCCCTCTTTTTTCCCGGCGGCTCTCTCGTTTCTCGGCGAGATCCAGTGGCGGCTCTCCCTTTTCCTGGCGTCGGACCTCTCTTATACACCCTCAAATCATGTAAAATTCATTTCCCCTTTCAATTATTTAGGGTTTAGGAAGTTAGATTATAGGATTTGAGGTAGTTTGATTTGCATGTTTAGGATTGAATGGATGGTTTAGGATTTTTTATATTGTTGATTTTGGGTTTCAGATTTGTTAGATTTGTTAGGTTTGTTATTTTTTAAAAAGTTTTTTTTTAAAAAAAATGTTTTTATAATCGTTTTTATTGTTTTTATAATTATTAAAAACGTGTTTATTTTATTTTTTAATATTTTATATACTTAAGAACTTTTTCTACAATTATTTTAATTTTATATATTTATAAATGTCTATTTTTAATATTTAAAAACTTTTTCTTGATAAATTTGTAATTATATGAAAAAATTAGAATTTTAGAATTTTTATACATATATTATGATCATTTTAGATATTTTTAATATTTTATAGGAACTTTTTCTATATTATTTAACATTAAAAAAAACTTTTTCTACATTTATTTTAATTTTATATATTTATAAATGTCTATTTTTTAATATTTAACAACTTTTTCTAGATAAAGTTGTAATTATATAAAAAAATTAGAATTTTTATACATATATTATGATCATTTTAGATATTTTTTAGTATTTTATATACTTAAGAACTTTTTCGATATTATTTAACATTAAAAAACTTACAATACATGTATTTTTATTTTATATTATGATCATTTTAGATTTTTTTTTATTTGTCTGATACACTGAAATTTCTTATGCAGGCCTGACGATTACGCACCTCGTCCTCCTCCCGCACCTCGTCCTCCTCCCGCACCTCGTCCTCCTCCCGCACCTCGTCCTTCCGCACCTCATCGTCGTTCCGCACCCTGTGGCCGAGCTAGTTCAGTGAGCAATTCCCGTCTATCGGGATCATCTCACGAACAAAGCTCGTCTCCAGTTCCTGAGACCGCTCCTGCTACCTCTCCCGCTGCCTCTCCCGCTGCCTCTGCCGCTGCCTCTCCCGCTGCAGCTGCTCCACACGAGCCGGGCGTCAGGACAGTTGAAGAACTCGTTCAACAACCAGGCCGGGAGCATCTCCCGGTTCTCCATCCCAACCCACGATGGAGACATACAACTTGGTTAGTATTTTTGTTTTATTTACATTTTTTTCCATTTAACTTTCTAACAATAGTTTTTTTAAATGTTCAACAAGTCGAGCAATGGCATTAGCCAAAGCATCAACCAGATGATGTATTCCATGCTCCGTCAGGGATATCCGAAGTGGAGTGTGATCCCTCTAGAAGAACGCGAATTGTGGTTTCGCCAATTCGCGGTAACACTTATTAGACTTATTTTTTTAAGCGTATTTCTATTTTGATTTTTTTTTATATATTTACTAAATTAAGTCATGTTTGTTTTGTAGCAAGAATTCAATTGGGAGTCTGTCCGCACAGAAATAATCCGTCAGAAATTCAACAAAAAGGCGATGTCTTCTTATACGAAGCAGATATACGAGTGGAAGCAACTATGGCTGAAGAACAAGAGGACACGAAATATTAACAGGAAGATTTGATGGTCCACTAGATGAAGGACGAGACTATAGTGAGGTCAAATCAGAACTCACTTAACAAGAAAAACGATCGTGGCGGCAAAGGCGCTAATGTGCACAACCTCAGTGCTTGCTCTATGTCCTCTAAAGAGGACCAGCTTGTAAGTTTTACTTTTTTCCTTTATATTTTTTTTATTTATATTTTTTTAAATAAACAATTTTATATATTCCTTGGCTAATTTTTAGGTCGAAGCAAACAACGGTAATCCCGTTGATCATCTTGTAGTCATCAAGGAGGCATACACTAACAAGGAGACGGGTGAAATTCAGGACCCCGTCATCAGAGAGGTCATTGAGATGGTGGAATCTCAAAAAGAAGCTTTCCTAGCTTCTGAGCCTATCACTGATGACGAGTCTACGGGAGCTTTAACCTGCCTGTCCCGACTGCAAATAAACGAGATGGTCGAAAAGGTAATTTTTTCATTACTATATTGGTTTTATAATATTTTCCTTTACTAACTTTAAAATTTTTTTAGGCGGTTCCTAAAAAGAAAGACTGTTTGGTTGGGTTGGCCCGTCGGGTTAATGAATGTTCGGCTTCTTCTTCTTCTTCTTCTTCTTCACAATTCTCGTATGTCGATCCCATGATTTTGGAGGAGTTAAAGGAAGAAGATCAGCGGATTGGTGCTTTGGAGGAGCAGAACGCCACAATCCTATCTCAGCTGGCGGGATCAAAAGCAAACGAACCTCGACATATTGGCGAGGCTAGATCGTTTGTTTCCTTCGGGTTCTTAGTTTTTTTTGTGTTTTAAAACTTTCTGAATGTTTTATTTTTCATTATCAGTTTGTGTAAACTTAATTTCTATAATATTATAAGTTTTTAATTTCAAATTACATTTATTTACGAATTTAAAACAAAAAATTAAAAATGCATAATTAATATATAAAAAATAATTAATAATTAAAATTGCAATTTCCGACGACCAACATTCGTCGGAATAAACCGATGAACTTTGTCGTCGGAATATTCCGACGAGACTCTCCGTCGGAATATTCCGTCGACAAAGTTCAACGGTTTATTCCGACGACATAGTTCGTCGGTATATTCTGACGGCTAGTTTCGTCGGAATATACCGACGAACTATGTCGTCGGAATAAACCGATGGATTTTTCTCGACATATACCGATTGATTTCCGATGATAGTTTCCGTCGAAGTGTCGTCAGTAGTTTGTCAGAATTACCGTCTCTCGGAATTCGTCAGAATTCGTCGGAACGTGTCACGAATTTCCGACGAAATTTCTTTTTCCGACAAAATGATACCGACGAACCGGTTCGTCACGGTTTCGTCGGAATACGCCTATTCTGACGGATTTTCGACGGTTTTGGCCATCGGTATCCTTCTGTTTTCTTGTAGTGCATATATGTGTCATCATATAACTAATAGTATTTTATATGTACCATAATATAAATTATAGCTGAGTTTGCGGGTCGACCCGCTCTGCTACGAATGGAATCATTTTTTTATTCAAAAATTTGATACGTAAATAGAAATTTATTGTACCTGAATCCGTCCTGTTTAAATTAGTGAGTAAAAATTTAATATTTTTATCTCAAATATATTTCACAAAATGTATTCCAAATCATTTAAACTCTACTTGACATCATAATATTTAAAAGAGCGGATATTATTATTTTTTAATTCTATAAAAAATTGATAGTTAGTGGATTATGTGTTTTTGTATGAGACAACCTACTACATTTGTGATTATGGAAGTTTTTTTTCTTTGTAGTTGATAAAACAACAAAGATATTCATTTAATATAGATTTATTTACTTTTTAAAATGTGGGTTTAATAGTTAACAATTATTTTATTCATTAAAAAATAAATTTAAAATATTCTTAGGAACATCACTATATAATTAGAAAGTTTCTGATATATTTTGTAATCAAATCATATAAATTTGCTAAGATAATGATTTACATTAAGACAGCTGTCTCAGATCTAACCTAGAAAATAAATATGAAATGTGAAGATAATGAATTAGCCTGAGATTAATAATAAAAAAGATAACTGTTAAAGATAAAAAAAAATTAAAAAAATGAAGAATGATCAAATCATATGTGACGTCAAAAGAGGAATCATTATGATAGATCATCTGCACATAAACCAAAATCATGATCAGAAAACAAAAACTTATGTATATATATAAAGTCTTAACATTCTAAAATATAATAAATTTACTAAATCCAAAGAAGAAAAAATAACATCATAAAAATCCAGTGACTTCGTTTCTCTGCTATTAGTGTCTTATATATAGTAAACTGGAAAACGTTTCTAAATGAAATATCTTTCACGAGAAGGTTTGAAATAAAATATTATTTAATGTTTTCAAAAATATTATACTTTTAAGGTAAGATTATTTTTGGAATATCTTGTTGGTAAAGGTAAAGGAGAATATTTCCTGACTGGATTGTACCAGAATTTTGGTTGATAGATTTCCCTATAAAAATTAAATATTAAATACATAAAATTATGAGAGAAGATATCTTATCAGTTGATTTTGCAACAACTTTTTGAAGGACATGTTCTACAAAAAAATATTTAAATGTAAAATATATATTAGATAAAAATATAAATACTTAACAAACAAACATTGGTTCTTGTTTATTTGCTGTTTATGTCATACTACTATTAAATTGAAAATAGAAGTCAAAAAAATACAATCCAGTGTTTGAAGGTTGATATCAAAAAGTTTAGATTCTTGTAGCGACTATTTTTACATAGCTATTCCAATGAGATAAATCTGTGACATTAAAATGATCATGATTAGATCTAATCTAGAAAATAAATATGAAATGTGAAGATAATGAATTTACATGAGATTTATAGAAATGACAAATGTTTACTTCGTCCAAAAAAAAGACAAATGTTTAATTCACTGGAAAAAACTAAAGAAAACGAAGATGATCAAATCATAACCTGTAAGTTATAGAAGTTTGATTTCTTTTAAAAAATGCTGCAATCTTTACACCTTACAAAACAAAGAAAAGTTGAAGAAGATATTGATTAGAAAATGAATTTAAAAAATTCAAACTTCTGTAACTTAAATTTTTGTCAGAGAGGAGGACCAACTCTAATGTGTCACCTCCATAACTGGTGTTTTGTTTCCAACAATGAAGAACCTTAACATTAATTTGCCAATTATCTCTGTTAGGTTGAACACTGTGAATGAATACAAAAGTGTTTGGTTTTGTCATTTTTATTGGAGGTGATAGTGAATTTTGAATGGTAAATATGAGAAAACTATATATACGCCTCATATTTTAGATAGGGCGTCAAAACAAATATATTGTCCAACAATTCAGAAAACCAATTAATAGTCTATAATTAATATCAAATCAAGAGTTTTATTATCTAAGCAAGATTTTAAGCAAAGTATGTTGACTTGGAGAAGGGATAATTCCATAAAGGATTGTATATATCTATAGAATTGTGCTTTATAATTAATACCAAATCAAAAACTTTAAATGTAACAAAGATTTTCTGCTTAAAAAAATAAGAATATACTGAAGATTTTCGTAAAGAATACGAAGGTGAATTATAATTATATTCCAAATAATTATAAGATACCTAATCATCACTAGTTTCCTAAATAATAGATAACTTCCTAAATAATAATATCATATCATTATTAGACTATAGATTAATAATAGGAAGTCTAACTTAAAAATCTACCTTGAAAAAGTTATAATGCTTTTGTTTTAATAGGATAGTAAAGTTCAGATATACTGTATCTGTCTAGTCTTAATTTACTTTCAAATAACAAAAAAGTTTTAATTTGTTTGACTATAGTTAGATATGGAGGCATGTCCTTTTCCTCATTAGTTGGTTGGTATATAAATCAAGTAATGAAAAGGAGAGGTCCATATTAAGGATTTTTCATTCAACAACATTATTCAAAGAAGTTATTTTAATAACTCGAAAAAGACTCCATATCCATGCCTAACAATTCTACATTAATTATAATCTTTTAGTCTCAAAAGTATACATATATGCTTCTATATAATAGTGCAACTATCCCATCATGGTTCCTGCTTGAAGAAAACTGAAGGAAACATATCCTTCAAAAGCTCATAGTCATGCTGAAACTCTTGGTTTTGTTGTTGCTGATAATTAGGGTGTACATTCACACCAGCGTATGGCGCACGGAAGAGATCATCATGTGAGAAGCTTCTTGGAGTATCCCCTATATATTAATTGAGAAACATTTGAAAAGATGTAACCTCAAGTTTGTAATAATTAAAAAGTAACCTTGCTTAGTTGTCAATCAATTAGCATACCAATTAAACTGACGTGGCAGCTTTAGGTTCAATTGAAATTTGCTAGGGAAAAATAATTAGAGACGCATATAACGCATATAACATAGTTTATATATATATACTAGGTGATTTTCCCGTGCTCATGCACGGGTATAAATGTTGATAAAAGTAATTTTATAATAATTGATTGATATATAGTTTTAGTTTTGAATCAATTTATATGTATAATATATATAAATAAATATTATATTATTCTAATTATACATATGACTTTGGATATATTATTGTCGGTTTAATTATTTTTTTGGATCAATAGTTGGTTTGTTTATCAATTTGGTATATTGTATAATATCTATTTTTCGAATTCAGTTATAATATTTTTATGCTAAATATAATAAAACTTTGATTAATTTTCTTATTTTCATTTCGGTTGGTTATTGTCTTTAGATATGTAAATATATTATAATTAAATTATGTATAACTTAATATATATTGTGCTTAAAATAAAATAAATAATATGCTGAAGTGTTTGATTCAAAATTACATAAATGAATATAAGGATAATATTTTGAAGTCTCATGCATATATATATAAATTCTAAAAAGAATTAAATGTTGGTTAATATTTTATTTTTTCCTTTTAATATGCTTTGAGTCAACCTCTAATTTATATGTATAAAATAAAATAGATTATTACTATTATAAAATTATAAATTCTTACTGTAGTTAGATGTTTAATTTGGATATAAATTAGATTAGTCGAGTCATTCATTTTGTGAATATATTGAGTTAAAAATATTTTTTAATTAAAATGGAAGTATAATTACTTTTTATTTTAGTTAATTCAAATCAAATTAGTTTTATTTATCGCTTAAATATACATGTATTTTCATAATATTTATTTACTCTTTATTTTAGTTAAGTCAAATCCAATTAGTTTTATTTATCGCTTAAATATACATGTATTTTCATAATATTTTTCAAATTATATGTTAATTTCTAAAAAATATTAGAAAATAAAGTGTAATTAATATTTTTTTGGATGTTCATGAACATATATATTTTTATTATTTTGAAAATATATTTGTTTTATTTAAAACTATATATTGATGGGGATATTACTATTTTGTGAACTTTCCTTTTTAATAAAGTTATATTATATACATATATTTTTGTTTTTAAATTTGTTTTAAAATTTTAGAAATATTTCCTTTTTATTATATATGTTATTTGGAAAAAGGTAAAAAAAAAACTATATAAAAATAATAATTTAAAAATCTAATAATTCATTAAGGGTATCTATGTAATCAACCATCGCGAGAGTTAACGTGAGCGCGACACGTAGGAAATTGACTTCTCAAATAATATTATAGAGATATCGCACGTATGTAATGGAAGAAAAGGAAAATATACGATTTGATAACGATTTGCATATATTAACTATAATAACTTCATTCCTTTTAATTTATGGAAGTGTATATGTAAAATGGAAATTACTTTGTGACCAAGTACATACTTAATGGTAAAGGCAAGAACGTTTATTATATGAATATATCTTTTGATCATTTTGACAAAACAATGAACG